GGGAGGCCCAGGGCGTTGGAGACATGTCAGGCACCAGGACCTGGATTAGGGAGGGGTTCTGTGGGTGGAGGAGACAAATTCTTGTCCTGGTGGCCTTCTCAGGGAAGGGGATTGGACCAGAGGTGGGGACTGTGCCTCTGAGAGCCACATGGTCCCCACCCTGCAAGCAGCTGCTCGATTCTGGTATGGAGGGCGTCCCACCTCTGACTTCCAGTTGAAGCCTGAGGCCAGACCGGGACTGCAAGCATCTGAAACATGTGACACATGTGACGGCTCTTGTGGGGTGTGTCCAGTTCTCCCTAAGACTCCCTGGTGACACTGCCCTTCCCAAGTCTGCATCCACTGCTCAAGTATGGCAAGAGGTGGCGGCTCTCCTCTTCAGCCTTGGTTTACGTGTTTATTTTTTAAAATTCTATTTCAAAGCAGAGGGCCCTGGCACAGCCCTAGCTCCGGGCCTTGCTGGAGCCCAGGGTTCAGGTACATTACTGGAATCCTGGGCAGGAGGCGTCTTGCCGCTCAGGTCTCAGTTGAGGGAGGGAAACTCTAGTGCTCTCTTCTGGGGGTCTTGGAGAGAGATGGAGGAGTGTGTGGGCTGTTTCTTCAGACACTCTCAGACCCGTGTCCTCTCTTTTGGCATGTGCTCCGCATGCTTCCTGGGCCACCTCTGATAGCTTCCCAAGAGCCAGTGCAGTGGCCATCCAAACGGCTGCCCAAGAGGTTCCCCTGGGATGTGGACAGAAAGTAGGAGAAATCTTGATTCTATTCACTTTCATCTCACCCTTTACAAGTTTTATGTGTGTCTCTGGTGCGGGACTGTATTTGCACAGTAATGTAGTATATAATTTATGAGAGGATGCATATATCCCTTTTCCTGAGTGCACACTTAGATTCTGCCTTTTACTGTAGAAGGTATGTAATCAGAAACATTTGGAAACGGCTGTCCAGAGGTTAGAAGCGAACCACTTAGCCAGCCCTTCACTCCCTGGCCTCCCTTGTCTTTCTGGCTTCATCATCTATATTCTTCCCCTCTCCTCCTCCCCTCCCGATGCCTCCCCTGTGACATCATGACTCCACCAACACTCAACTTCCAGTTGCCAGAACATGCCCTGTGCTTTCACGTCTGCAGCCCTGGCGGAGTCTTCTGTCTGTCTGTGGGCCCACCCTTCCTTGAGCTCCTGCAAATACAGATGAGCCCAGCTCCTCTCTGAAGATTCCCCTGATGCTTGCAACTCCCAGAGTGCTCTGTAGGCACCTTGAATAGCCTAAGTCTGTCTGTGGTGGTCATTTGTTTAACTTGCCAGTGCGTTTGTCTAGACTCTAAGTCCCTTGAGGGGCAGGCCCAGGGCTTACTTATACCTACATCCAGAACAGACTGAGGTCGATTAACCCTGCCACGGGGGGAACAACCTGGGTCCAATGAGGTCAGTCAGTCTTCACAAGGTCGGGTCTGCTGACCCCACTAATCAGCTTGAGCCTCCTAATCCATCGCCCGCAGGAGCCTCAGGAAGAACCGCAGGGGCTTGGGAGAGCTGGCAGCGGCCATCTTGGCCTTCTCCTGCGGACGCGGTCTGGAGGGGATGGGGCAGCTGAGCCATGTGCACTACCCTCTTCCTGCTCAGCACCTTGGCCATGCTCTGGCGCCGCCGATTCGCCAACAGGGTCCAACCGTGAGAAACTGACTGGGCCACGGGCTGGGGTGGGGGGGAAACTACTGCGCTGGGTTACAGCCAAGCTCAAGGCGGGCGGGGGCTGCCTGGGCTCCAGGGAGGCTGGGAAGGACTTGCAAGGGAGCCCTGAGAGGTTCCCCCTCGAAGTAGGGGGAACTTGGAGCCCTTCAAAGACGCTGGCCACAGCCTCCGGTTCCAGAGCCCGATGTGGCTTAGGTCTTGCAGAGAAGCAGGAGCGGGGTCTGGGGTCTGGGTGCTGCCCACAGCTCTGCCTGCCTCTTTTCCCTCCCACAGAGAGCCCAGTGGAGTAGATGGGGCAGTTATGGGCAGCAGCTTGGAAACAGACCTCCAGTCCTCAGGCAGGTAAGGCAGAAGAGTCTAGGGTGGAGGAGGAAGGGTGTCGCTAAGGAGGCTGCCGCTGTCCCCTGTCCCTGCCCAGGCCCCGGGGGCGTACGTGGGTATGTGTGTGTGTGTGTGTGTGTGTGTGTGCGTGTGCGCGCGCGTGCGTGCTCCACGCTGGCCCCTCACCCCAGCTACCCTGTTCACTGTATGCCTAGTGGGCAGGCCGAATGGCTGTTTTCTCCAGTTGGGAATGGGACTCCCAGCCTCTCCTCTGGACCAAAATTTCTCTGCCTTGCTTGTCCTAGTGCGGGGTGGTCCCCAGGGTCCCTTCTGTTGGCAGGTGCAGGGGGAGTGGAGAGAGGGATGAGGCCGAAGCACCCCTGCGTTGCTTTGCTTCCGTCCCTTCCCCCTCCCTCTCCCGCTGCCACCCCCCCTCCCCCGCCCCCCCAGCCTCGGCAGCAGCAGAGCTGCCTGAACCTCCAGCAGGATTCGCTGTCCGGTCCCCAATAGAAGGCGCAGGAGGACTCCCAGAGTGCTCTGTAGGCACCTTGAATAGCCTAAGTCTGTCTGTGGTGGTCATTTGTTTAACTTGCCAGTGCGTTTGTCTAGACTCTAAGTCCCTTGAGGGGCAGGCCCAGGGCTTACTTATACCTACATCCAGAACAGACTGAGGTCGATTAACCCTGCCACGGGGGGAACAACCTGGGTCCAATG